AGCAATTAATTTATTACTATCTGTAACTACGTAAAGACCGTACACTTTGACAACATTCTTCCATTGACTTTACAGGCAATTAAGAGTCGAGAGCTCACGGCTCGACAGGCTTCAAAATCAAGTTTAATATCTTCGAACGTATAAAGAAGAAACGACCAAATTATATACGTACAATATTTATTCAGTTGTGATTTTGATAAAACTATTTTTTGACGCGATTTAAGCCTGATGTCTACGTATTCATTCTTTCAACGTATGTACGTACTTTCAAAAACAAAATAAATCATAAAAATGATTTGCTTTCAGTATTTTATGCATCAATTTTTCTGGTTGAAAGTGCTTTGAAAAGGCTCCAGTTGGGATCACCACAGTTCAGAGTGAATCTGCGACAAATGGACTTTAGTTTGTATGCCAGTAATTTCTATGAGGACGAGCATATGGATAGAACCAAATAAACCTGCTGTGCAAATTGTCGCCAAGCAACCACAGGGCATTTTAAACGGATCATTGTTGTGAATTAGCGACATTTGCTGAAATCGCTAGGTAAAGTTACAAACACTGAGTCGTCCAGTTCAGTCTATAATGCACGTAGGCATCCGAACAAAATAAACAGAGACAATGACATTCGTTTCTTAGAAACCCGTGATACCAGCGGAAATTCCTACAATATAGGAGAGGGATCTCTATTGTAGCGATTTCTGTCCCGGCGACTTGAAAGTGGATGCAGTACTTTCAATTCAAACGCGATCCACATGTTTGACGCAAGTATGCTGTGGAACAAATAGCCGGTCTTGGAGGAATAGTCAAGTCGGCTGTGCTTCGTTCAAAACCAAACGTGGGAAAACTCTCGTAGTCTAATAGTTAATAGGTTACGTTTCAAGAAATCATAGGTCGTAGTCGGCACATTTCAAAATTTGATAGAGAATTTCTTCCACTCAAAGTTACCCACCAAATTCGTCAGTTATATTTTGGTTCTGCCATTCTTTTTAGAAAAGCGTACAAAGTTCGCAAAGTTGGTATTGACATTACGGAAAAAACAATATGCTAAAATCCGTTGACTTTGGCATATGATGCGACTTGACAAGATTTGTCCTCAGGCCAAGCTTGCACTGCTTAAGTTCTTAATTGTTTCATTGACGTCAATAGACGAGAGGGTACGAGTTTGAATTTTGTGTATCATCATGGTATATGGTGTCCATAGTTTAATATAGCACACTTCGTGTCGGTAGCAACATAGAAACCATAAAGGCGTTTCAAGTCTGTATAAAATTGTTCATGTATAATTCAGAGCAAGCTATCTAATATCTATTTAGCAAATTGATCTCAGTTTTTCAAGCCTCTGTCCTGTTATTGATGATGAATTTCGTCATAACATTGTCAAAGTAGCTGTGGATCCAAGAGGCGAGAACCGAGTGTATCCGCAGACTACTTTGACAATTTTATGACGAAATTCACTGTCAATAACAGAACAGAAGTATGAAAAACTGACGTCAATTTGTTTTTTACGATAACAGATTGTCAAATTGTCCGCTCTCGCTGGTTGACGCATCGCATAAATTATAAATTCATGTGTCTGTGCGCATATTCACGATGAAAATTAGCCAGTGAGCGCGCGAGAATTTCTGCAGTTATCGTAAAAGACCATCTCTTATACAGGAAAGCTAGACGGAACTAATCAACCATAGACTGACGTCGACATCAACGATCAAAGCATCAACAAAAGGAAGAGCTAATCTAAACTTAATTGACACTCTGTTCTTCTTCTGTCGAACGAACACGACAAATAATCTCTTCTCTGAATCGAGCTGACTTCATTTCAACCCGGCCATCACAGAACAACCAAAGATGCACCGGCTAACCAGCAAAGAAAAACTCAGCCGGCTGCTCCGCTTAACCCCTCTTATCTTAGTTATAGCTGGTTCTGTTTTAATACTAGTGGGTAACACTGCTTCCTTAAAAAGCTGCAAGATCGCTGGTCCTGTGGCTGTAGCTGTGGGTGGATTGTTATTACTTTTTATCACAGTATGGAGTTCACGCCGAGACAAACTCGAGGAGAACACAATTTGTGAAGAGGCTGTGATCGCAGCGGAACACTTCGCCAATAGAACTGCCTTGAACACTGGCTCAAAAGATCAGCTGAGACCGATTCATCACTTCGAAGTAAAAACATCGTCTCAATCGTCTTGGAAAGAAATGGTACCTCCTTCATACGAAGAAGCTGTTGACAATAATAACGGTATAGGAAATTCGCAAACTACCACTGAAGTTGTACCAAGTGATGACGAGGAAGCGAGTTTGAACAACACGACTTCTGCACCACCGTCTTACGAAGAAAGTCATGAAAATGCGACAGCTTCATAATTCTCCTTGACGGTTCTTATAAATTTACTGTAAGTAAAGAATTAACTCCTCCTTGGGGATGTAAAACGTCTACGCTTTGAAAAGGAAAGAAAAACTTCTATTAATTACGGAAGTCAGGAAGTATTGAGCTCTGTTTATATCACAAGAAATTCCGACAAATTTGTTGACAGTTAAAGTAAATCATAAGAAACTCTTTGGCAGAGCATTGGCAGACTTAGGAACTGGTTATAACGGAGAAATTATAGAACTCTAGGTTTTCTCTTTGTTGACGACTAAATAAGTTTAAGGCCGTACTCTACATCCTAGATTATAGAATCTAACTGATTCAAACGGAAAGAAATATTCACAGGAAGATAGTAAACGATGCATGTCGTCTGGCTAAGCCAATATCATCTTTTAACAACACGTGCGCCCGTTCACACTGATTGGTGTATAAAAGCAGTATTTAATTCTATATCCACATTCTGTATAAGACATAAAATATAATAAATTGTAATCAGTATTGATTATCTTCAACTGAATTCGTCGCAAAAATTAATATTTTTAACAAAGACGTACATGGAATTCAATTATGACACGAAAGAACAGATATTCCGCCGGTATTTACGCTTCAGTCAGAGAGGTTTTATTTGCGTTTTTAATTCTTGAGACAAATTTAGCAAAGTTACGATGTAACGATAGCAGCCGGATTGTAAATTCCTACTGATTAGCTGAATACATTATTACATGGGAATATTTTTGTCCTCATTCATCACTACATATAGAAGGCAGAGATATAGTTTAACTCAGAATTGCTCATCAGTTTTAACTGACAGCTCAGTGAGATCTTAGTTCGGCGCGGAAAGTTACTGGAAGTCGAAAAATGAGCTGCAATGTCAAGTGAAAATGTAACTGGCAAACACAGAAACCAGCACCAGACGCTCCATGTAGCTGAAGCGTTGAAGTGTGGAGAGAAGGTCAAAATACGTTCTTTATACACAACAAAAGTTAAGCACAGACACTATGAATATCGAAGAAGTAAAGGACTTTCAAACCGCTATATTTTACGGTAAGGTAACGCCAGTTGATACTGGCTTCACGTTAAGTCCAATTGTTCTCCACCCAGCTCAATACAAGGAGCTGTACACATACACAATCTCTGCTCAAATTAGGCTGAGTGATTCATAGCTAATGTTCTGCCGTAAGCTTTGTTTAGTACAGGCTATATAAAAGAAAATATGAGCTTGCAATTGACCACATCGAAGTG